GCACTGGGTTCAATCCCCAGTACCACAAAAAATGTAATAAAAATGTTTGAGAATATTAACTATTACACTGTTATATACATATAATACTAATGTATATAATTAATGTGGATATAAGGCTACAGAAACATTTAATCTAATTATTTGGCATTGAGTCCCTTTTTTTCAGTCAAATATTGTGTCATTTGTACAAACAACCTTCTGCTGTGATTGACTTTGTGTTATCGATGCATGAAGGTGTATTTTGTTGGGTTTTTTTTTTTTTTTTTAAAATTTTAATATTTTTTTTTTTGATATTTTTTTTTTTTGGGTTTTTTTTTTTTTTTTTAGAAATTTAATACTTTATTTTTTGATATTTTATGTTTCTGGGTTTTTATTTATTATTTTCTTATTGGTACATTTTAGATAGGCATAATGATAATGTTCACCATAGGGAATTTGTGCCTGTACATGATCTAGCTCGCCTTGTCTTTTTTTTCCAGGTCCCCTCCCCTCCAGGCAACCTCTCCTCCCCTCCTCATTTATGAAAGTGCTTTCCATTTTATTTCTTGTCTCCTTTCCCTTCCCCCTTCCCCTCTTCCTTGTTCCCCTTCCCATTTGAACATTTTCTGCCCATTTCCCCATACCTGTTATATGTCTTGGTCTTTATTTACACTTTCGGTTTCTCACAGCAGAGAAACAATGTGGTTTTTAAACATATGTGTCCAGTTTATTTCACTTAAGAGCATGGCCTCAAGGTGCATCCATTTAACTAGAAATGTCTCAAGCTCATCCATAAAGGTGTTTTCGTTCTAGCTGGATCAGCCTCTGAAATGAGCCTTATGTCATACTCAAGTGAAAATAAATTATTTGTTTAAACTATCAAGAGAATATGTAAAATTGATCATTTTTTGTTCTTTTTTGGGGGGTACTGGGGATCATCAAACGGGTCCTTGCACTTGCAAGGCAGGCAGCAGAACCGCTGAACTAAATCTCTGGCCCCAGTCATTTTTTTAAGTAAGATGAATTGTATTATTTTGGATGAAGTACACTGATAGTTTTATCTAATAACTGAAGTAAAACACATCTGGTATCAACTAAATTGTTAATGTTTGTTGCCTATCTGCTTGGAAAAGCTTATGGTGTAAGTGGCCTTATAAGGACAGTAAGACAATAAGAATAATAATTTCCCCTTCCAATCCTTTTCCTTCTTGACAAAATATTTGGGAAAAGTTGAGGAAAAAATTGCTATGACTTATATTAAGTTCTTAAGTAGAAGTTCTTGATCAGAACCAACAGCATCATTTTTTTTTTCAGGTAAGACAGAAAGCCAGCCAGGCATGGTGGTACACACCTGTTGTCTCAGCAATCAGGAAACTGTGGTAGGAGACTGAGGCAGGAGGATCATCACAAGTTCAAGGCCAGACTGGGTTACATAGTGAGTTTAAGGCCAGCCTGAACTATATATATAAAAAAGCCAGGAATTTAGCTCAGGGGCACTGCACCCACCTTGCACACAAGGGTCCTGAGGTTGATCCCCAGTACCCGCCCTGCAAAAAAAAAGAAAGAAGGAAAGAGAGAAAGCAAGCAGGCTAGTTTCTGTACATGTTTGCTATACATGATGTTTACATTCCTTGTGTGGAGCTGGTCCAGGTATGTAACACATCCCAGTTCCTTTTTTTTCATTCTTTTCTCCTCCTCTCACTCCCGCTTCCTCCATCTCTTGGTCCCCTTCCCCTTTGAGGAAGATCTGTCTCCCTACTTCCTATTATCTGTCTTTTATTTTGCTCTGGTTTTCTCATATAAATGTATTGCAAACATGTACCCAAAAAAGGAAGAGGGTGAAGAGATGGCGGAGGGGAATAAACAAGAAATTTAAATGTTCTATGTCCATTCTATGTACTAACAAACTAAAATTAGGAAAAAATCTAGTTTCTGCCGCTTGTTCACACAGCTAGTAGAGGCCCATTTCATACTTAAGAAAACTGTATCCCAGTGAGTCAGAGGAGCGAGGGTCTTGGGCTTCATTGGCTGAACAATGTCCATACTCCTAAGTGTGTCTTGAGATTTAGTGAACTTACTTGTCTTGAATGCTTTTCGTGTGTTGGTCATTATTGTGTGAATTTTTTTGTTTGTTTGTTTTGGTTTTTTGAGACAGGGTCTCACTATGTAGTTGAGACTGACCTGGAACTCACTATGTAGTCCAGGCTGGTCTCGGTGAATTTCTTTTTTTAACAATTCTGTAAAGCAGCTTAGATCAACACCTTCCAGAAAATTGGAAGGTTCAAAAAGTGTAATAGAATTTAAACACTGTTTATTCCTCCTTCAGTAACTCAACACATTTCAGGATATTGTGGATTTTCAGAATCATTATTTTGAATGGATTTCTCATAAAACAGTACTCTCTAGGGAAAAGATTGCTGTTCTGTATCTACACAGAATTTGTTATATCTCTTAAATACATAATATTCCTATATATTTCTTTGTACTAGTAAGTATAATAGGTGAAAAGTAATTTAACTTCCTATTTCAGGAAATTTAACTAAATATGACAACAAAGGATATAGTATGTCAGTGACCTACACACACAGACCCAGAAAAAACTGTTGTAAAGCTGCATTTATTTATAATTCTCAACAGTTTAGTTTGTTCTTAAGAACAAAGTTCAAAATAGTCTCGTCCGCTATAAATTGGGTTTTATTCATAAATAAAACCTTATATAGGGCCAGGGATTTAGCTCAATGGTTCTGCCGCCTGCCTTGCAAGCACAAGGTCACAAGTTTGATCCCCAGTACCAAAAAATAAAAATTAAATAATTTTCAAACAAGGAACTTTAGAATTATATCTAATTATAATTTACTTACCATTTATATATATATATAATTGTTTTTAAACTTAGCTATTCTTAATTATTAAAAATGTTTTATAGAACCCTATTATTAATAGTAATGGTGAGGCTGGGGATTTAGCTCAGTAGTTCCACAGCCTGCCTCATAAGCGCAAGGTTCCAAGTTTGATCCCCGGTGCCGCCATCATCATCATCATCATCATCATCATCATCATCATCATCATCATCATCATCATATTAGTAATGGTGTCAGGCTGAGCGTGGTGTTGCACACCTGTAATCCCAGCACTCGGGAGGCTGAGACAGAAGGATCGCTACAAGTTGGAAGCCAGCCTCTGTTCAATAGTGAATTCAAAACCAGCCTGGGCTACCTTGCAAGACTCTGTCTCAGAAAACAAACAGTAATGGTGTCATTAACTTAGCTTACCTTACTTATTTAGTACCTGTTTGTTCTAGGTTTATAGTTGTGAGTTCCCTTTGTAGTATAACTTGTACTTGGAAGTAATAAAAGCAGATTTCTCTATAAATATTTATGGTACAGACGTTTTTCCTAAATCAGATGATAGCCTTTTCCCAATTATTTCTAATAAAGCCGTTTTATATCTCCTTTTTTTTTTTTTTTTTTTT